TGGTCTGGCTCCCAGTGCATGGTGCTGATCCACCACCCGGGGCTGGCCCAGAGGGCCTTTTTCTGAATAGGCAAATCAATAGAAACAGAAATGAGCCGTTCTCAGGGGTGAGGGAACGTGGTGATTTCCATGGGGCTTCTTTTGGAGATGATAAAAATGTTCTGAATTTAGGTAGTCATGCTTGCACAAGTCTGTGAATATACTGAAGTCTACTAAATTGTACGTTTTTTAATTGCCACAGGAGCCAGGTCCCACATGGCCAACCATGGTTTGACTCCTGGTCCCTGCAGCTTGAAAAACAGGCGGTTGCCTGTCCCAAATCCTGATGGGATGGAGAAATAGAGAAGGGATTGTAGCATGACCATTCCCAAATGGAGAGGTGCCTTCTTCCTCTCTCTTTCTTTGTCTCTGTCTGTCTCTGGCAAGCTCATGTGCCCTCTGGCAATTTAAAGAAAAAAAAATTATTTTAGCTTGTTCATTTTCTCTTTTTTAAGAAGGGAAAATTTTTTTTCTGGATAATTTAAAATATCTTCAAAAGTAAACAGAATACACAGTATTATGAGTCCCAATATGTAGTGCATAATTTAACTCCAAATGATCAGCTGATGTTCGATCTCTCTTTAAATTCTTTCCACATCTACCCTCTTTTTTTTTTTTTTTTTTTTGAGGGGATTTTTTTTTTTTTTTTATGGGGTTTGGGCTTTGCCTGACAGAGAGAGTCAGAGAGACAGAAAGTGAGAAGTCACCCTACCCAGGGGGGGATGGCCACGCTGCAGTCCCTTCTCCTCCATTCTCCTCTCGGGATCTTGGGCACGCACGCACACGTGCCTGGCGTGAGTTTAAGCCACTGGGTCCGGGACTCGAACCGCAGTCGACTACATGGGAGTCCAGCGACATAGCCGTTATGCTAACTGCTGGTCCCCAATAGTATATATTTTTAACCTGTGACCTGATAGTTTAGGCAGTGGGATCCCACGTAGCCAGCTGTGCAGTTTCAGTCCCAGACCCAGTAGCTTGAGAAACACACCAGGTGCATGTGCATGTGAATCCAAAATCCTGAAAGGAGGGGAAAATGGAAGAGAAGAGATTTGGGCATGACCATTTCCCATAGGGGATGCTTTCTTGCTTTCTGCTTCTGTCTCTTTCTGGTAAATGCACATGCCCTTTGGCAAAACTTTTAAAAAATCCGATTTCCAGCTATTCATATATATGTATAGTATGTCTGCATGTCTGTCTCTGTGTATATGTGTGTGTACAATCTATCTGAATCTAGATTAAAAGTAAACTTTTACTATAGAGATTAATAGTCTGTTAAATCTCTAAGTCTGTAGGTTCTTCCTCCTTACATCTTTTCTCTTTTCCTGTTTATTTGTTGAAGAAACCAAGTCATTGGGGCCAGCAGGTGGCGTGGTGGTTAAAGTACTGGACTCTCACATGGCTGACTGGTTCAAGTCCCGGACCCAGTGGTTTAAAAATCACACTGTGTGCACGCATGTCTAAAATCCTGAGAAGAGAATGAAGAGAAGGGATTGCGGCCTGGCCATCCCACATGGGGGATAATTTCTCACTTTTTCTGTCTCTGTCTCTCTGTCTCTCCAGTGAGCACACACAGCCTATGACAAAAACCTAAAACAAAAACAAAAGCAAAAACAAAAAGCAGGTCATTTGTCCTTCAGCTTCATGCCATTCCCCACTAGCAGCTTTTGCCGATTGCATCTCTGCAGGCAGCACGTCCTGTCGTTCGCATTCACTGTGAGCTGATGTTGGTGTATTCTTTTAATATGCTGCTGGACTCACCTCGCTAATATTTTATTCAGGACATATGTATATTACAAGACGAAATTAGTTTTGTTTCTTTGAGTGTGTTTTCTCTTAGGTTTTAGTATTAGAGTAATCCTAAATGATTTATAAGCCTTCCATTTTTAAATGTTCTAGAGTGATTTGGATAAGTTTGGAAAGTAAATATCTACCCTTAAATATCTATCAGATAGTTTTTATGGGGAATCTATATCTCATTTTCAGAGACAGCTCATTTCAAGTTTAGTTTATTAAAGGAGCATAATCCTGATGGGAAAGCCCGAAGAAAGTAGCATAAGCTAACCAACTATGTAAAATCCCAAAATATAGCAGTCTGACCACGTGAAGAATATAACATGAAGGGGCCAGCAGGTGGCGTGGTGGTTAAGGTGGCTGGACTCCCACATGACTGACTGCAGTTCGAGTCCCGGACCTGACATTTTGCTTTCTTACTTTCCTTCTCTCTCTGGTCAACCTCAAAAATAAATAAATAAATAAAATAATGACAATGATTAAAATTAAAAAATAATTCTTTAAAAAATATATATATATCCAACATGATGAAATTGGGTTTGTTGTTTCTCCTAAGCATCCACTTTTTTCATCCCCATTTTGCCACCCTATTCAGGCTTTCGGTTGGTCTCCTTACCTCCAGTTGTGTTTCCTTCAAATTGCTTGCTTAGGGCCTGGATGATAGCGCAGCATTAAAATGCGATGCTCTGGGGGCTACCCAAATGGGTTCAGTCATTGTTTCTGGGTTTGTGTCTGGAGACCTCTCTGAGTACGTCAGACACACATATCCATGATCAGGGCTGGCTGAGGCTGGGGGCGGATCGTGGTGTTGACTCTGTTGGAGGGGTGTTTCTGTCTCTTTTTGTCAATGCCCCTCTCTCTCATGGAAGAAATAAATGAACAGCCTATAAAAAATATTTTTTCTTCTTTATAAAATTGTAGACGTGATAATGAGTTTCTCATTCAAGTATGTGTCGAGCACAGCCATGGAGCAGTTGCTACCTCCCAGTGGAGGATCCCCGCCTTCATTGAATGCGTGATGCAGGGGCCCAGCAGATGGCATAATGGTTACATCGCTGGATTCCCACAGTTGACCACAGTTCAAGTCCTGGGCCTGGTGACTTAAATCTCAACACCAGGCACATGTGCATGTGTGCCCAAGATCCTGAGAGAATGCAGGAGAAGGGATTGCAGCGTGGCCATCCCCTCTGGGGGATGATTTCTTGCTTTCTGTCTCTATGTCTCTCTCTCCAGTGAGAGAGCGACGCCTTATAGAAAAAAATCTCTCTCTGGGACCAGTAGTTAGCGTAATGGCTATGTCGACCGCAGTTTGAGTCCTGGACCTGGTGGCTTAAACTCATGCCGGATGCATGTGCATGCGTGCCCAAGATCCCGAGAGGAGAATGGAGGAGAAGGGATTGCATCATGGCCATCCTCCCTAGGGGGGTGATTTCTCGCTTTCTTTCTCTGTCTTTCTCTGTCTCTCTGGCAAGCATGCACGCCCTGTAGCAAAAACCTCTCCAAAGAAAAAGAAAAACCTCTCTCTAAAAAAAGAAAGTGCAGTAGGAGAGAATGATAATAAAATAATCACTAATAAGTATGTAACTAAACACTGAGAGTTGTGTTCTGAAGGAAGGAAAGCAATCATGACTGTAGGAAAGATTAGGAAAAAGAAAAACCTCACTCAAACTTGAAATTAAGGAAGTGTCTCTTGATGTCTTTAAATAAGAGTTATGAGTATTTGAGGGGCCAGTAGGTGGCACAGTAGTTAAGGCACTGAGGTCAACTGTGGTTTGAGTCCCAGAACCAGTGGCTCAAAACTTACACCCCGCAGCAGGTATGTGTGCATGCCCACAATCCCGAGAGGAGAATAGAGAAGGGATTGCAGCATGGCCATACTCCTGGAGGAGGGGGTGATTTCTCACTTTCTCTCCTTTCTCAGTGTCTCCAGTATGTACACGCTGCCCTTTAGAAAAAAAATCTCTCCTAAAAAGGAAAAATAATTGGGGACCAGCAGTAGGTGTAATGGCTGTGCCACTAGACTCCCATGTAGTCAACTGGGGTTCAAGTCCTGGACCCGGTGGCTTAAACTTATGCCAGGTGCATGCGTGTGCGTGCCCAAGATCCCAAGAGGAAAGTGGAAGAGAAGGGATTGTGGCATGGCTATCCCCCCTGGGGGGGATGGTTTCTCGATTTCTTTCTGTCTCTCTATCTTTCTGGCAAGCACACGTGCCCTATAGGAAAAAAAAAAAAAAAGGAGTATTCAGTGAGACAGAATGAGAATCAGAACCAGAGCAGCTTGTAGCAAGGCCTTGTGGCAGGAAGGAGTGGTGCCCAGACTAGGAACTGAAAGGGAATGACATGGCTGGAAAGCCTAGAGCACTAAGTGATCTGAGATGAGCTGGAGACACATTCGCAGGTCAGATCATAAAAGGCCTAAGCCATGTCACAGGTTTTGTTTGTTTGTTTTTAGAATGATTTTCTTTATATTATTTATTATTATTGTTATTTTTTATTTGACCAGAACAAGATATACACACTCAGAAAGAGAAAGCAAGTCACCAGGTCTGGGACTTGTACTATGGTCAGCCATGTGGGAGTTCAGTGCCTTTAACCTCCATGCCACCTACTGCCCCCACATGTCAAAGGTTTTTAACTTGGGCCTAAGGTCATTAGAAAACTGTTGAAAGATTTTAATCAGGGCTAAAGGTGCATCCAAGAACTGTTAACTTCTTAATGATGGGTAATAATTATATTTTACAAAATATCTACTGTCATCATTGATTTTCACGGGGAAAAAGTTATTTAGATAAGTGTATGTTTCTGAAAACAGATCGTCTCTTTTTATGCCACATATTCTTGTGTTTAATGATCTAAATTCCTATCATGTCAGTTGCTCCTTGAAGATACGGTATGTAGCAAGGACACTGCATTTTAATTAAGGAACTAGATGGGATATGAAGACCTGCAATCATGAAAGGCCTTGATAACGATGCGGTGAAAGATTAAGGGAAATATTTATATAGGAATTGGTATGTATTTCTCAAGTTACTCAGTAATGAAAACCAGTTGACAAAAGGAAGTCGTTTTATCAGAATAATCATTGGAGGAAAGCATTTTAAATAGCTCGTCATTTGGAGGGCTTCTGAATTTATTTTTTCTAACTTGTTTCTGTTTGTTTGCCTTTGTAGGAGAGTAGTTATTTTGATGGAGTTAGAAGTATTGAAATCAGCTGAAGCTGTCGGATTAAAGATTGGCAATCCAGTGCCCTATAATGAAGGTAAATGCTTTCTATAAGTTGATAGCACTCGCCACACTTGTAGTTTTTAGAACTGTCTGTCTGCTGTTAAGGGGTGAGTAGATTCTGTAAAGCTAGAGACCATGTTTGTTCTGTTCTATTCTGTATCCCTGTTGCCTAACTCGTAGTTGACCCTCGATAAATTTGCCTCCGAAAAGTTTATGGAAAATGTGTCTTAAGAAAAAACTATGGGGAACCAGCAGTTAGCATAATGGCTATGTCACTGGACTCCCATGTAGTCGATCGTGGTTCACATCCCGGACCCGGTGGCTTAAAACTCACGCCGGGCGCGTGTGCATGCGTGCCCAAGATCCCGAGAGGAGCTATCCCCCCTGGGGGGGATGGTTTCTCGATTTCTTTCTGTCTCTCTATCTTTCTGGCAAGCACACGTGCCCTATAGGAAAAAAAAAAAAAAAAAGGAGTATTCAGTGAGACAGAA